TCAAGGTAATTGAAGCACCACAGCTCCATATAAAAATTCATTTCCGGACCGGATAAGAAAAGATTTAAATTTCCAGCAACTAACTTGCAACTTCAAAAATTCATAACTAATTCATTTTAAATCCAAATTACATGAAACCAAAACTAAATGGAAGCTAATTGATTATATTTTCATGTTATATATTTAATTTGACAAGATTTATTTCAAGTTAAAACAGTTTAAGGGCAGAATACAAGACATTCTCTTCTATGCATGTAAAACACTCAATAATGACATAAAAATACTTCAAAATAATAGATCAATACCTCACTAGAGAATTGAATCTCTAGATACCAAAGCAAAACTAGGAGTTAGGCTAAATCTTTCAAGGGTTTTGAAGAGGAGGATGAGGGGAATAAAAAGTATTCCAAGTTTTATGGTCTAAAGTAAGTGGAAGGGCCTCAAAGATCAAGGTCAATGCCTAAAGCATCAAGCTTCATCCATGGAGGCTAGGGTTTTGTGGTGAGGAAGAAAGAGATTAAATGTGAAAATGTGTGAGTGGAGGAAATAGAAATCCTCCACTCACTATGTGATCCTACACCATGGTCAACACACACATTTATGGTCAATTGCACAAAAATCCTCCTTTAAAACCATAATCCCAAAGTGGCCCAAAGATATTTGCATGACTAAATTGTGAACCTACACTTGTCACCAATCCATGGCTCCTTCCTAGGTTTAATCCCACACCTACACTTGTCAACCATTCAAGCCAACAAGTGCACCAATCCTAGGTCAACAAGTGGGTGAATCCTCACCCTCCAAAAGTCATCATCCAATGCATCAAAGTGTTTCCACACAAATGTCAACAAGTGGACCAATGAGTGTGTGACACTTGTCACACTTTTCAAAAATTACAAAAATATCCTTTTAAAAAATATCTTCCAAATTTAATTGCAAAATGGTCCCCAAGATGAAAAATAATTACTTTATTTAATTACACTAAAACCCCACAAGTTAAGAAGAATTACACTAAAGTATGCATTAATGCCCCTTTATGAAGAAAGTAAGCAATCAACATGCTTTTCTAGAAAAGTAAAAATACCACTATCATGGAAATCAAATATCATGAATGCATGCAAAACCGGAATCAAATCCGAGCACAAAAAGTGAGGTTGTGAAAGGAAAAAGGATAAACGAGAAAAAGACAAAATGTGAATAGTGTTCGGAAAAATAAAATATGGAAATTACACAATCCCCAAAAGAAGTTGTCAATCCAAGGAAAAGAGTCGAAAATCATTCCAGAGCACTCGAGACGATATCAAGTAATGAAAAACCGAACCAAAAAAGGAAAAGACAACGAAAAAAAAAAAAAAAAAAATATCCGTTAAAATCTAAGAAAAAGAAAAGGAAGAAAAATGACCGAGTCATTACAGCACATATTCTCTCACCAACTTCAGATTTGCAACAGAGAGACAAATATACGATTGATGAATGATTTGATGAAAAATTTATGAAACCGCTATGGTGATGAAGATGTTTAATTTATATTGCATTTTGTTTGTTTTTAAGATGTTAAGACATTTTGTATACTAGAACTTATATTATGTAATAGTTTTTTAAGATTAAAAATAATGAAATTGTTTCTCAACGGTAATACTTTTCAATTAAACAATATCTTTGCAAATTATTAAAAAAGTTAGGATTGATATTATAACTTTAAACAATACATTATCCATTATGAAAAAAATAAATAAATAAAATAATTAAAAATAACTTAAACATTACAATATTTTAAATTGGAATAAGAAAATAAGGATTACAAAATCCTATGAGAATAAGAAAATGAATTTTTAATTTTTTTTTTTTTGAAAAAGTTTTAAAATTTTTAATTTTTAAAACTTTTTTTAAAAAATTATAAGTGTTAAGGCACTGTTTCTGTCTACCAAACGGCTAAATGCACTGTTTGTAGTAGAAATTTAAAATTTAAAGCAAAATTTTTTAAAAATATATATCAAATTTTAAGGGGGAAAATAAGGCTTATTAATTTATTTTTGGCCCAAATCAAAAATATTTTAGACAGCCTAAACAATATATTTTTTATTTAATGCATTTTGTTTTATTTTTTAAAAAATAAATGAGTTCAAAATAACTTATTTTTGAATTTTTTCCCAAAAAACAAAAGCAAGAGTGGCAACAAGCCAAGAAAGGTTAAACGCCAAGAAAATACAGCTGAAATTAAACCGATTCTTAGGTAAAAACAAAGTGGTAAGAGGTTAAGATAGGTCCTTCAACATCAATAAGTCTTATAAGCAATCTGATCTTCTCAATTTCGATTGCTCAAAGGGTTTCAATGTGACCAAAGAGGGTACTCAATAGTAAGGATATATACACTGTCCGCGTCAACTAATAATAAATGAATATTATCATTTTTAATTATCAAATTTAATATGATAAAATAAATATTCACTTACTAAATAAATCAGATATTGTAATTTAATTATTATCTATAATTTAATAATTAAAATAAAATGATAATTAAATCACAATATATTAATTTATTATTAATCCACATTAACAATTAGTATGATATAAATTTTTAATTAAGTATTATTCTCGAATCCTACTTGTTGAATCCCACATTTGTCAACTTTATCAAACCAAATCTAAAAGCCTAACACTCCTCCACACCCTTTTCGAAAGTAGTAGAGTCCTTTGTTAACTTCAATAGAGGGGGCATTATCCTTTACCATACCAATTAATAAAGTTAGTATAATGAACTTCGCACATGAATCAATAGTACTTATCCTATATTTTGGGGTGAGGTAAGGGTGAAATCCATGTCTCCCCTTGCAACAAATGAATAGATAAATCATTTTAAGGTTTAGCTTTCTCGTTCGGTACAGAGTAAGAAAGACTGACAAGCCATATACAAGGTGATTATTTTTGGACTATAACAATTAAGATAAAAACACCTTGGACAATAATAAATTAACTTTATTACCCTTTCAACACAATGAATTATCAATTTAAACAGTACAAAACTTTTTTAATTGATTGAATAGCCTTAATCAATTAAGGGTAAATGGGTTCCCACATTAATTGACTTTATTACCTTTCAACACATTAAATTATCAATTTAAACACTACAAACTTTTTTTTTTAATTAAATACCTTAGATCAGATAAGTAAATGGATTACCAAGTACAACATATTTGAGAAAACACAATTTTGCCTTTCCTCAATCCTCAGTCAGTCTCTTCTTATCTTTCCCCTAACAAAACTAACACCAAACCCCACCCCACCGGGTGGTCACCACTTCCATCTTTATATATATACACTTGAGAAGTGTTTTTTTTGTACTTGACCCATATATATATATATGGGTCAATTACAAAAAACACCACTCAAGTATGTGTAAAGTGCATATAACATCCCTCCATGCAAATAACACCCCTCAAGTTTTAATATAGTGCAATCAAGTCCTTCCTGACAAATTTAAACCAAACTTAACTTTTATAACTTTTATATAAAAAAAGACCATAAACAATGCCATCAAGTGGCTCTCTCACCGTCACCAACGCAAACCTATATGTATATATATATATAGATATAGGTCAAGTACAAAAAAACACTTCTCAAGTATGTATATAGTGTATATAACATCCCTCCATGCAAATAACACTGCTCAAGTTTCAATACAGTGCAATCAAGTCCTCCCTAACAAATTTAAAACCAAACTTAACTTTTATATAAAAAAAGACCATAAACAATGCCATCAAGTGGCTCACTCACCGACGCGAACCAAAAACCTCTCTCCCGACCAACAACCCAGAAGACTCAACGACCACCTTTACCCAATCAGAGTCAGATACACTACCACCAATGAACAACGACGAACCCACCGTAAATTTATTTACATTTTATACATAAATTAACAAAAAAATCTCTCTTGAAGCAGAACCAGGACTTCCAGACTAAAATTAAGATTGACATTACTCAATCAATAGTGCATTGCACAATTCTTTCATACTTCTTTCGGCAGAGCACTTAATATAGATAGAATTGAAAGACCTTTAAAACTAAATTTATTTTTTTAAAAAAAAGGTACATGAATCATCTTTATAACATGTTGAGCCGTTCATCATCCATGAAATCACATTCAAATCAATTTGACAATTACAAAACACACTTGCAATAAAAAATAAAAATAAAATAAATAAATAAATTATGAGCAATATTTATACACACACAGCGCTAATCAAATCGCATAATAATAGAAACCAAGGTTTGATATATTCACTTTTTTTCAATATTAATCTTACACCCACCAGATCAAACAGGGCAAAACAAAATTGCTTGCTTGTACACAAATGTGTGAGAGAGCAGGAGAGGGAGGAGTGATCGGAAACCAATGGAATGGGAGGTATTGGAAAGATGTTTCCGTGGAATTCATCTTTCCATTTCTCCCATTCCTCTGGCTTCCCAAAACTAACTCCCTTTCCTTCCACTCATAGAATGAAGGATTCTATTCCTTTCCGCTCATATGTTGAACCTTGAGATCTCGTAATAGCACTGCTGCCACACACACTCACACACACACGTCTATATATCTATTATATCTATATATAATAGAAAGATAAAATTTATCAATATTACTCATTAAATCGCTAATCAAAAAATAAAAATTAAAAAAGAAAGGAACCATCAGAAACCAAGTGTATCCCCATAAGCGTTTGCTGTACGGTCCGCATCATGGTTTGGTCTTTCTTCTTAAAAGAAAAACCACCATCACTTGGTTCCTACCTCTCCCACATAAATATACATTCGTATATATATATATATATATATATATAGGAAAGCATCATATTATTAAAATTGAAACCCTTTTTGTTAGAGAAAAGATTAAGTACTAAAGATGAAACTACCCTGAATTGAAAAAATAATAATAATAATAATAATAATAATAATAATTTTGATCTGTCGAAAAACAAGTTGAAAAATAAAGGAACGGAACGGAAGGGCTCAGATAAAATGGGTACAAGAAGTGTATCATCACTGGTAAATAAGAGTGGTGCATGACTTTCTTCAAATCTCATCATAGCCCTCCAACCTTTACATATATAGACCAAAATCATACATATATAGACCCAAATTATATACATATATATATGATTTTATATATAAAGAGAGACAGAACTTTACACATATATATTGAACAAAACCATACACATAATATAGAGAGACAGAGATCCCGTAATTCAATTTCTGAAAGTATAGAGAGGGGCTTAGCTTTATATCGAAGCTCCATGGGAATGGTAGGGAGAGGCTTTGTATCACGTTATATATACACACGAAGGAGGGTAAAATGGAACCGACGGAAGAGGCCGCAAAAACACAAACCCTAATCGTTATCGTTAGACAATATTACCACTTCACCCTGATCGAGTAGTTTATATTACAATTACTGCCATTAGTATTAAATTTGTATACTCCCTCTATCATTAGTATTAAATTTGTATACTCCCTCTATTCCAAATTAAACGTCATCGGCCGGATTTGAGATATAACTTGAGTCCAACCCATCATATGAAATTTTAAATCCAAACCCAACCCTAATCCTATCATCAACCTTTACTACTCAATCCAACCACAACCCATCCTTTTACTTTTAAATTTGAACTTGCAACTCGGGCTTAAATTTCGGGTAAAAGTTTCGAGTTATTCATATGACTAATCCTTACACCGAAAATTTAATATGATCTTGAATTAGTTTTAAATTAAATTACTCTTAAACACGAAAGAGTTTAAAGACTTTTTGTAAATTTTTAATAAATTGCAAACAAATTTTTAGAAAATTAATTCTTCTAAATATTAACATCCAATAAGTTAAGATTTAACAAAAGAAAATGAAAAGAAAAAAAGTAATCATAATTTAAATATTATATATAATGTATTTAAAAGTAAAAATATATATGAAAATAATATTAGAATTCGGGTTCGGATTGGCTCAAGTTACTAGCACTTCAACCCAAGCCTAACCCTAATTATAAAAATGATGATTCAAACCTGTAAAAAATAGAGCTGAATTCGAATTGGATTCGGATTACCTAACTTAAACTGCACCCCTAGTATATATACACATTTATGAATTGAATTCAGATTGCCATTTATAAATGACTAAAATATATTCAATTTGAAAACATTGAGAGGACATGTATGGGTGGGACATATGAGGTGGTAAGATCAATGGTCATCTTTAATGCTTTGTACATGTATTTCTTTGTACATGTATTTATAAAATATTTGTTTTTATTTTTTAATACGTGTTGAACATTTCTCAAATATTTGCACTGTGTTTGAAACTTTGGGATTTTATGGAAATTGAAATTTAAAAAGAATATTTAACTTGTATGGAATGATGGGATTTTGAAAGGGAAACAGGTTTTATGGAATTCTAAGACTTCATTTGGTTAGATGGAAATAGTAAGAAAAAAATAATAATAAATAAAAAATGAAAATAAAAGAGAAAACTACTCGAATAAAGGGCAAAAAAGAGAAAACTACTTGAAAAAAATACTAATAATTTTTTCTAATATATTTGGTTAAGATGAAAATTTAGTCAAAAAAAAATTGTAAGAAAATATCATGTTATAATTTAGATACCTAAATTGTCCTCATTTTAAAATGGCAAAATAATAAAAAATTAATTATTAGTATGTATATAAAATAAAAAAGGCGAATGACAAAAAACCCCCCTTAATTTTCACCTGTTTGCAAAAAACCCCTCTTATAATTATTTTTAGCAAAAAATCCCCTTCAACTATCCTAAGGGAGTGACTTTAACTAATATCCGTCTAAATGATTTACTGAGTCATTTTTTTTAACGAAATTGCCCCTTAACAATAAATGACTTTTTATTATTATTATTTACTCTCTCGCCACGTCAACAAATTCTTCATACTGTTTTATTCATACAATAGAGTTTCAATATTATAATTGAATCATATATTTTTATGCAGGTGGACCTGTTGAATGTAAAGAGTGTTTCAATATTATAATTGAATCATATATACTATAATACTATATACGTGTGTGAAAATTAAATCAAATTTATTTTATTGATTTTTATCCTATCGGTATGAAATCATATTATAAGTCAAGTTTATTTTATTTTATTTTATTTTATTTTTTATCCTATCATATCCATATGATAATTTTTCCCTAATATCATCTAAAATTAGTATGAAACCATAATATATGTTTACGAGTATAAGTAAAAAGTTGAAAACATACCAACTCTCCCACTAAAAGTAATGATTGTGTTGTCTTCTTCTAAAAGGGTCAATCACCACCAAAAAATAAAAAATAAAAAATAAAAAAATTAGGGTTTAAAACCCCAAACTCTAAATCTTCAAATTTCAGTCAAAACCTGTATGATCTTCGTATAGCTATTAATGCGAGTGAGTGAATTGCATGAGAAAAACGAATGATATTAAGATCGGTGGATGATTCACTTGGTGTAAACGAACATATTCAATGCGTTGATTCGCTTGGTGTAAATCAGCGAGTCAATTTTATAACTTTAGTAAAGATTGAGTCCAAACGTGAACAAATGAAAATAAAATTCGTTTTAGGAAGTCACCAAAAAAAAATTAAGAAAGCGTGGGTGATTTGGTAATAGTGTATGTTTACTAAACGGACGTCAGTTAAAGTCACCCCCTCGAAATAGTTGAAGGGGATTTTTTGTTAAAAATATTCATAAGGGGGATTTTTTTGCAAACGGGTGAAAGTCGAGACGGATTTTTTGCAATTTGCCCAATAAAAAATGATGGAGTTTTTAATTAATTTAGACCTTATAAACTACTATTTATTTCATTCATATACGAAGTAAAACAATTAAAAATAAAAGTCAAGTTAATTAAAACCCTATCAATGATAAAGTTAAAGTTGTTGTTGGACTGTAATTCTTTGAAACCGAGTTAAAAAAAAAAAAAAAAAAAAAAAAAAAAAAAAAAAAAAAAAAAAAAAAAAGGGATAAAGTTGTTGTGTAAAATAATGAAATTATTGGATAAAATATGAACACAAAATAAAAAATGTTGCTTTTAGATGAAAATAAAATTTCTCCGCTTTTGAGGAAAATAGAGAGTTACGTGAATCTTAATTTTTTCTCGATAGAATCAACAAGAAAAGAAAGGAAATAGAAAATTTTGAAACTTTTTAGAAGTTTGGTTATATAAAAAAGGAAAAGTTCTTGAAAGTTAAGAGTCTGCTTAGTTTGTAACTATGAAAATAGAAAACAGTACAAAAAAATTCAGTTATAAAAATGTATATTAACAGAAAACTATAAAAGATTGTTCTCTGAAAAACCAAGCAAAACCCTAACTCCATTTGGTTAGATGGAAATAGCAAGAAAGAAAAAGAAATGGAAAATGGAAAGAAAAGTGAAGTGAATGGAAAAAAAATTGGTTTTCTAGTATGTATTTGGTTAGAATGAAAATTTCTTCAAGAAAATTGTAGGAAAATATCATATTATAGTTTGAATATCTAAATTACCCTTATTTTATAAAATAATAAAACAATAAAGAATTAGTAATAAAATATTTTTAAAAAATGATAAAATTTTCAATTAATGTAGACATTTTGAATTACTATTATTCATATATGATGAAAAACAACTAAGAATGGAAGTCAAGTTAATTAAAAATTTATCAATAATAAAATTGTTAGGGGACTCTAATTCTTTGAAACCTAGTAAAAATTATTGTTGTTTTCAAATATAAAATGAAGTTGTGTTGGGTAAAATATAAACACTAAATAAAAAGACATGCTTTCACGGGAAAATAAAATTTTCCCATGTTTTGTAAGGAAACATTTTGGAGAAAATAAATGGTTACAAGAATCAGAGTTACAAGAATCCTAATTTTTTAGAACTTTTCTTTTTCTATCTAACCAAACTACAAAAAAAAGTTTAAAATTTTTTTATTTCCTTTCTTTTCTTTTCCAGTTGATTCTATCTAACCAAAGTGAAAGAAAGTGAAAATGAAAGTGAAAGAAAGTGAAGTGAAAGAAAGAAAAATCAAGTTTTCATCATGCATTTGGTTAGTAAGAAAATTTTTGAAGAAAATTGTGGGAAAATTTTATTTTGTTAGTTTGGATAGAGGAAAAGAAAATGATTCTACTTACCAAAAAAACCCTTATAAATTCAAATAGTAAAATAAATAAATTTATGTAAGATGAATATTATTTATACTTAATTATTAATTTTACCAAAAATAATGAAATATGGAATAGAATAGAGTGTGTGTGTGTGTGTGTATATATATATATATATATATATATATATATATTCACTTGTCCCACGTGGATTGAAATAATCGTTTTCTTCTTATGTTAGTTTTATTAATATTATTTATTATTTATTTCTCCTTATTGTCCTTATTATTATTATTATTTTGAAATTGAGAAAAATAAACTTTTTGATAAATCGAATTTTTTAGGTCACCAGTCAATTGGCCAAAAAAGTAGAAGATAAAAGAGGATTCATACAAAGTTATTTGTTTAAATTTTTATATTGCTTATACTTCTAAAAATACTTAATCAATATTAAAACTAACACAGATTCTTAGAAAGGCAGAACTATAGTTTTGCTTATACAAAACAAAAAGTGAGTTGTGGAGTGTTTGTAAAGTTAGAGTTTTAGCTCTAGTTTGAAACACACATAGAGTACTATGATACCACCTATATGAATAGACGTTGACTTATGAAACAAATCAAAGTGAGAGATTAACGATAGGTGAGTTTTAAATCGTTGATCAAGAATCTCAACATTAGTCCAGTTTTTACTTAACACTCTTATTAACAAATAATTATGTATATATATAACAACTTTTCATCATTATCAATTATGAGAAAAAATATTTTACTAATTTCAGACATTTAGAAAAAGAAAAAAAAAAAGTGAAAAAATAATTTAATAATGAAAGGAAAAAATAAATTAAATTTGGATGCACACATAAAAATACAAATAATTAAATTAGTAATACATGATTGTATAAACAATCAATTTATATAAGGATGAAACTCATATTTTCAATGATGTTTAGA